GCCAGTCTCTCACTAACGTGAGGACATCACATATTTAGGTTTCCAGGGAGCTAGCTTAGTTCGGGCAGAAATCTCAACTTGCTCCCGTGCTTTCTTTTTGCCTTGATTACTTGCACGGGGGCCACAGGAAGCCTCTGTGTGCACGCCCTCTCTGCCAGCACGCAGCTCTGAGTAGCCCTACACTGTGAGAGGAGCCACCAGCTGTTCCGGAGCTCAGTCACTGCACCAATCACACCCAGGCTCCCTCCCAGGGACCTGCTATTCAGTGTGTGTGTGTGTGTGTGTGTGTGTGTGTGTGCGCATGTGAGTACAGGTACCCATAGAGGCATGGGACTCTTGGCTGGTGAGAATGAGCAGATCTTTGACTCGTGTGCCTGGTCTTGGTACTCTTGTCCTCCTGTTGAGTTACCGTGTGATAGTTTTTGCTTTGACTTATTACACTTTATTTTGTGATGTTTGGCATCTTAGAAGCCTGTTCTTTTCTAATGAGGAACAGAGAGAGAAAGGATCCAGAGAGGAGAGGTGGGGGAAGGAGCTTGAGGCATAGAGGAAAGGTTTGTGTGAGGAGGAAATCTATTTTTTCTTTTTCTTTCTTTCTTTCTTTCTTTCTTTCTTTCTTTCCATTTTAATTTATTTTTTGTTTTTTGAAACAGGGTTTCTCTGTGTAGCCCTTGCTGTCTTGGAACTTGCTCTGTAGACCAGGCTGGCCTCAAATTCAGAGATTCACCTGCCTCCGCCTCTGGAGTGCTGGGATTAAAGGAGTGCACCACTACCTGGCTAGAATCTATTTTCAGTTTAAAAAAGCAAAAGACTAGAATGGCCATCATAGCCGGGCCCCGGAAGCTCTCATGTCATCCCTCTGGCCTCCTGGTTGAGCCCTTCGAGATTCACTGCTTCACTCAGAGAAGAGTGATAAAAAGTGCATCTAGAATGGGTGAATAAAGTCCACACCTTTCTGGAGAGGAAAGTGGGCTCTGGCGTTAATTGCCTGTCTTTCTTGTTTTGGGGCAAGCACTTCACTGACCGGCTGTCCCCAAGCATAGTGATGGCTAACTTTGCGTGTTAACCTCCTGGATCTTGGGGTGCCCAGAGTACTAGTACAGTACTATTTCCATGACGGCCTTCGGGGCCTACACATATTTTCATTTTCAGACTGAATAAAACACTTTCAGCAAAATGGGTGAATATCATCCAAGTCACCGAGGGTCTGAACAGGATGAAAATGTGGAGAAGGGAGAATTGGCACCAGTTTGTGCCGGGACCTCCATGCTCTTCTGCACTGACCGCTGAGATGCCGGAGCCCCAGCTTCGGGGCTTACGCAGTAGGTGACACTGTGCCCTGCCAGCATGTCCCTCTGAGCCTCGAGTTTCCTGGTAGACCTATGTGTGTTTGTTAGGTTTTCTTCTCTCTGTCGCTGTGGTGGAATAACTTAATGAAAATGACACAAGGGAGAAAGGTTTTATTCTGGCCACAGTTCCAGACCGGTGGAGCCTGTCACCCGCCACGGCCAGGAAGAAAGGCGGCGGGACCAGGAGGCTGGTGAGACACGGCTCCCTCACCCACAAAGCCCGAGCAGACAGGACGCAGGCGAGGCTTTGAAACCCCAGGGCCTGCCTCTGCGACACACTTCCTCCAGCAAGGCTGTGCCTTCTAAAGGTTCCAGGCCGCAAGCTGCCGGCGGAGTGCTCAGATGCCCGGCCTACGGAGGCGTTCCACGGCCACAGCTCAGCAGGCTCTCCATCCTCTTCTGGCATGGCTGCCTCCCAGCTAGGTGACGACCAGGCACAAAGGTTGCCAGTGACTGCCTGAGTCTTGCTTTCTGGAAGGTGGTCTGTCTGTCTGTCTGTACGTTTTCTTTCCTTATTCATTCTCTTGGTAATCGAGGTGGGGCTCTAGCAGTCTGGCGGGCTGCAAACACCCGGTGACATGGTCTTAGACCCATCTCTCATCCTCTTCACAGGCGCCGGGACGGCAGGTCTCCACAGGCTGGGACCGGAGCTCAGCTTCGCTCCTGCAGGCTCACCCTCTGCCAGCCTTGCGTGTCCATCTGTCCAGAAGGACTGTCTGTATCTTGACCTCCTGTGTCCTCCCTGGCACAGAGGCAAAGGGCCAGGAGCAGAAATCTAAGCAAGAAGCGTCCTCAGGAGGCCGCAGGTGTGGGCAGGTGGGGTAGGCAGGCCCGGGAGATCTGGCTTTCACTTTCACCAACCTTTATGTTGAGGCTTTCTTCCACCAGTCCCACACTCGCCCCCGAGGAGGCTAAACCTGTAAACAAAGGTAAAGTTGGCTGCACAGTTGTAATGAGGCCATTTGATGTGTAGGAATCAAGGCTGTGTATAATGTAGGCGTGTAATTGGCTTCTCATTGTTTTCAGAAGAATTGGTGGGTTATTTGTGCTTGAGCAGCTTGGCCCCGGGGGGTGGGGGGGAGAGGAGAGAGGGGAGAGGGAGAATATGGTGGTCGGGTCTTCAGGGGACTGTGCGTTCAAGTTACCAGGCTGACAGCCACATGCCGGTACTTCATGAAGAACAGAAGTGAATCCCCACAATTCTGGAGCCAGAGATCCAGAGCCAGGGTGTCAGTGTCGGGTGAGGGTGTAGTCTGCCGACAGTGTCCTCGTGAGTTGGTTCTTCCCAGCCCTGTGTGAAGGGGTGAATCACTGAGAATTAATAAGCTGTAACAAACTCTTCTTTTCACAATTGTTTTTTAATTAAATTTTTATTTTTATATTAATTACAGTTTATTTACTTTGAATCCCAGCTGTAGCCCCCTGCCTCATCCTCTCCCAATCCCACTCTCCCTATTCTTCTCCCATGCCCCTTCCCCAATCCACTGATGGGGGAGGTCCTCCTCCCCTTCCTCTGACCCTTAGCCTATCAGGTCTCATCAGGACTGGCTGCATTGTTTTCCTCTGTGGCCTGGTAAGGCTGCTCCCCCTCAGGGGGAGGTGATCAAAGAGCCAGCCGCTGAGTTCATGTCAGAGACAGTCCCTGTTCCCCTTACTAGGGAAAACACTTGGATCTGAGCTGCCATGGGCTACCTCTGTGCATGAGGTCTAGGTTATCGCCATGAATGGTCCTTGGTTGGAGAATCAGTCTCAGAAGAGACCCCTGTGTCCAGACTTTTTGGATCTGTTGCTGTCCTTGTGGAGCTCCTGTTTCCTTTAGGTCTTTCTATCTCCCTCTTCTTTCAGAAGATTCCCTGCACTCTGCCCAAAGGTTGGCTATGAGTCTCAGCATCTGCCTCGATACCCTGCTGGGTGGAGTCTTTCAGAGGCCTCTGTGGTAGGCTCCTGTCCTGTTGCCTGTTTTCTCCCTCCTCCCATGTCCATCCTCTTTGTCTTTCTGAGTAAGGATTGAGCATCTTACCCAGGCTCCTCCTTCTTGTTTAGCTTCTTTAGGTGCACACAATCATTATTATTATTTTGTGCACGTGGGTGTTTTACCTGCGTGTAAGTCTGTGCCCCGTGTACACACAGTTCCTGTGGAGGCCGGGAGATGCACTGGCTCCTGTGGAGTCACAGACAGCTGTGGGTCGCCATGTGCTGCCCAGGAAGAGCAGCCTCCGTCTTAGCTGCTGGGCCGCCATCCTGCCCCTGGGGCCTAAAAACACTTAGATTTATTCATTATGTGTGTGGGGTGTGTATGAGTGTGTGTGTATGTGGTCCTGAATGTGGTGTGTGTAGTTGTGTGTGTGGTTATGTGTGGGGTGTGTGTGTGTGTGGTGTGTGCTGTGTGTGGTTATGTGTGGTGTGTGCTGTGTGTGCTGTGTGTGGTTGTGTATATGGTGTGTGTGGTTGTATGTGTGTGTGTGTGGTTTGTGTGTGTGTGTGTGTGTGTCTGTGTGTACTTATCACAGCACACATGAGGAAATCAGAAGGCAAGTTGCAGAAGTCACTTCTATTTCTTCCCTTGTGGGTTTGGGTGATTGAACTCAGGTTGTACCCCACAGTCACATCCCACAATCACAGTCACAGTCACAGTCACAGTAACATACCACAGTCATATCCTACAGTCACACAACCCCCACAGTCACAGTCACAGTCACAGTCACAGTCTCACCCCACAGTCACACCCCACAGTCACAGTCACAGTCACACCCCACAGTCACAGTCACAGTCACAGTCTCACTCACCCCACACTCACAGTCTCACCCCAGTCACAGTCACACCCACAGCCACTCCCCCTGGGACACCCGCCAGCCCTGGGCTAGAGACGTTTGTTCCGGCTGTGTGTGCCTGCTCACTTTCTCCTCGTTCAGCGCACACTGCATGAGGCACCCACCCATCCGTCTCAGCTGCCCCCGGGGGCTTAGTGTAGTTTTACTGCGCTTGTGTCAACAGGACCGCCATCGAGGAGGACAAAGCCCAACGAACGGGAAGCTTAGGTGACGCTTCAGCTGGTAAAGCCCTCGCCTCACGAGCCGGAGGGGGGCGCGTGCCCAGCACTGGGGAGCAGACACAGGCCGGCCTCTGGGCTGTCCCGGCCAGTTCCAGGCCGGTGGGAGAGCCATGGGGTTCCAGCGCTTTTGCGCCCCTGTGGCTGCACGGCTTCCTTTGCTCGGTGTCCAGGGTTCTGGGCGTGCCAGGGCGAGAGGTGTGCCAACAGCGTTCGGAACGGACAGTCGTTGGACTGAGAACAGGGCGCAGATCTGGGACCTGGAAGCTGCAGCTGCAGTTTCAGAACAGGAAAGGAGAGCAAAGTACAGAACAATCAGCGTGAGGCCCTCCCAAAGCCCCCGCCAGCAACTCTGGCGCTGCTCAGGTGGATCAATAGCAATTTGGGGCTCCGGGGCTCCGGTAGGGGCGCCGGCAGGGGCGCCATCCCAGTTGTTCGCTGGTTCCGGAGGCTTTCCCGGTCCTCTGGGAAGCAGGCACCATCCACTTAGGCCTGGAGCCCGGCCATTCTCCGGCCACTCCCCCCTTCCTCCGGCTGGCCCAGGCTGGATGCTCCAGCCTACACACACATCCCTCCTGTCCTTCCTGAGCTGCTCTGAGAGGATGGCGGCTGAGGAGCCACCTGAGGCCAGGGGTTGCTGCCCCGAGGCCGGGGGCAAGGCCAGGGGTTGCTGCCCCGAGGCCTGGGGCAAGGCCAGGGGTTGCTGCCCCGAGGCCCTGGGCAAGCTTCTGCCCGGCCTCTGCTTCCTCTGCTGCCTGGTGACCTACGCGCTGGCGGGCGCTGCTCTCTTCTCTGCCGTCGAGGGCCGCCCTGACCCAGCAGCAGAGGAGAACCCCGAGCTGAAGACGTTCCTGGACAAGCTCTGCAGCATCCTGAAGTGCAACAGGACAGGTGGGTGCCGAGGAGAGGTCGCCACCTCGCCGCTACTGTGGCCGTGGGCAGCCTGCCGGCCACCTCCTCCCTCCTGAGAGAACTTAGGCAAACGGGTCTCACTTCTCTCCACCCACGGGTGCAGTGAGGAAAGTAAGAGCCATAAGCAGGCGCTCTTACGGGCTCCCAGCAGCCCCACCCAGCCCCCAGGGCTTAGGGGAGGGCTGTGGTGGACCTGTGGGGGTGGGTTATGGGCCGGGAATGGCCCAGGCAGGCTGTTGTTTTAGCTTAGTGAGTGATCTGTGCCAGCAGAGCCCTTGCTGGTCTTGCAGAGAAAAGGGGACCCATGCTCTGAGACCTGCCAATCATAAGGACCCTTCTAAAGTAGAGATGGGAGGCATGAGGCTTCTGCGAGGCAGCAGCCACTCAACAGGAGCCCTTGCTGCCTGCCATTTGTGTTCCGTCCCTTGGTTTGGACCTGCAAAGGATTAATCAACAGAGCAAGAGAGGACAAGAGACGAAAGACAGAGACAACAGAACAAGAGAAAATAAAGGATAAATGAAGAAATCGCCTCTGACAAGCAGGGTAGGAGTGTTTGAGAGCCCGCCTCCCTCTGCACGTGGCCCTACGTGGCCCCTCCGTGCTGCTGGGGACACGGTTTGGGAGCAGGCCTTGTCAGCGGGAGCTGCGTGGAGCTGGTCCAGGAGGTGGAGTCCGACTCTGGGCAGGTGCCTCCTCCTGCATCTTCGGCATAGACAGCTCGTCAGTGGCTGGGGTTGCTCAAGCTGCTGCCGGGACATGGGGCTGCTGTAAGAACCCCACCCAGGAGCCCATCCAGGGCTCCTGCACCAGCCCGCACTAGCTGCATCCAGGGAATCTGACAGAGGTCCTCATCTCCAAGCCCTCCCCGGATCAACCAGGCTCTCCAGGGCCAGGCTGAAACCTTGCTTCTAAAGGCATCCTGGACAAATAGCAGCAACTGTGCAGTCGCGGAGCACTGGGAGTCAAGGGTGGATACGTTAGTAAAATGCCATCACACATTTTCTCACTCACCCCTCCCAGGTCCCCGTACCCTGGGTAAGAATAGTCTCCCTTTTTATAGATTAGAAACAGAGGCCCTGGAAGGGTACAAAACTTTTGAGGTTCTCATAGCAGGAAAACAAGGCAGGAATTCTGTTCTAGGCAGCTGCACCCCAGACTCTGAGCTTCTTACCAGCAGGCCACACTGCTTTGCAAATGGGGAAACTGAGGCTCAGAAAGACGTGTTTCTTCTAGAGCTATATAGTCAAGGTGAGTCTTGATGCCAGAGTCTGGATTCCAAGGCCAGTGCCATTCAATTCCAATGAGTGATGACTTCCCCTGTGGCCCAGGCTCTCTGCCATCCTCTTAGCCCAGGGACCAAGGCTTCTTATCCCAAGAGCCAGCCCCAGGCTGGAGCTGGTAGCTTAGTGTGCTCACGAAGCCCGCAGGAGCCAGCGCCCTGCTTCTCGCTGCTGCCTGACTTGCTGAAAGCCTTTTGCTTCCCATTTAGAATTCCACAAGAGAGACGGCTGAGGCTTCCATTCCTCTTTGAAATGAATACAGAAGCCTGGATATAGCGGTGCCTGCCTATAATCTGAGCGCCCAGCAGCACAGACGGGAGAACTGGTGCAGTCTGAGTCCAGCCTGTCCACGTAGCCAGTGCTAGGCCGAAACCAAGGGTGTGCGGCAAGACCCCGTCTCATGGCATGGAACCCAAGACCCAAACAATAACAAAACCAACAAAATGAAACATGAAAGAAATGGTTCAGATAGTAAGAACTCCTTCAAAGGGCAGAGGCTGCAGCTCAGCAGAGCACTTACCTAATAAGGCCTAGATTCCATTCCCAGCACCACGTAAGGGAGCCTCAACAGTCCCATGCCTGTAATCCCGACAGCAGGAAGACAGAGTCATGAAGATCAGAATCTCAGGTTTGTCTTTGGTTATTATAGCATTGGAGATCAGAAGGAAGGAAGGCGGGAAGGATAGAAGGGAGGTAGGAAGAAGGAAGGAAGGAAGGAAGGAAGGAAGGAAGGAAGGAAGGAAGGAAGGAAGGAAGAAGGAGGGAAGGAGGAGAGAAAGAAGGAAGGAAGGAAGGAAGGAAGGAAGGAAGGAAGGAAGGAAGGAAGGAAGGAAGGAAGGAAGAAGGAATCCCCAAGGCTGCTGAGCTCAGGTCACACCAGCCCCTGTGGGCCTATTGGACGTCTCAGTCTCCACTGGCACCAGCCACTGGCTCTAAGCTGTGGAAGCATTTTCCAGGAGGGCTTTGACCTCCAGGCTGCAGTGTTGCCAGGGTGGTGGGGGTGGGTGGGGATGTGGCTGGCCTGGGGCCTCTCACTGGGCAGGCCCATCTGGTTTCTCTGCAGTGGTGGAAGGCAGGAAGAAGGACCTGTGTGAGCATCTGCAGCAGATGAAGCCCCAGTGGTTCCGAACGCCCGAGGACTGGTCCTTTCTGAGTGCTCTGTTCTTCTGCTGTACCGTGTTCAGCACAGTGGGTGAGTGCAGGGACTGTCCTGCTGCACATAACAGCTTGCCTGGCAGGGGACACCTGCCGGCAGGCGTGCTAAGACATACAAGCGGTAGTCTGCCTACCTGCGCAGCTTTTCCCGGGCCAGGTGTAGGGGTTCAGCAGCAAGAATGGCTGCCACTGGTCCATAGGCCCCAGGGGTGGGGGGCAGATCAAAAGACAGCATGCTTCTTTCTTCAGGTGGGTGCAGCCCCATGGCTGGACAAGGGCGCCAGTGAGCAAAGCACAGGCCAAATTGTGGTCTTTCCCACTCCTGACTGCTCAGATGTGAAGCAATTGGATGCCTGGGCCAGCTGGGAACAGAGCAGGCAGGGATCTGTGCATGACAGTGATGTGCTCAGAAGATCCGGAAAGCACAGAAAGGGGGCAGCAGCAGAAGCCTTGGGTTGGAGCTTCCAACCATGAGACTGTTCTAAAGGCCTCTGAGGGGCTGGAGTTCCTGGGAGGGAAGGCAGAGAGGTGGGGGAGGAGGAGGGGTATTCCAGATACCACATAGTGCAGCCAAAGGCCTGAGAACAAGGTACATGTCTGGGGCTCTACAGAGGTTATGTCAGGAGTGAAGAAATATGAGAGGAAGAGAGAGTGGGGGAAGGAGAGGAGGAGAGAGATGGGGAAGGGGAGAGGGGAAGAGAAGAGGTGGAGGAAGAGGGAAAGGGAGGGGAGAGAGTGAGGAAGAGAGAGGAGAGAGATGGGGAGGGAGAGAGAAGGAGAGGAGGGAAGAGGGGAGGGGAAGAGAGAGAGGAAGGGATAAGGACAGGGTCTTCATCCAACAAACTTCCAGCAGGGAAACAGTGGGTGGCTCAGCCTCCCAGAGACCCCTGCAGCTTCAGCACAGTTGTACCAGGAGGGACTGTGGCCACAGGAAGCTTCCTGTAAAGCCCAGAGAGGCAATGATGTCAATCTGAGAGTTAGGACAGCAGCTGTGAGATTGGAGGGGGGCAGGGAGGGCAGCCTGGAGGAAGATCTGGGACGTGAGTGAAGACCCAGGCTGGCACTGGGGTTCTAGGCTTCTGTGGATGCGCAGGCTGGAAAAAGAGGTGCTGGGTGAGGGTCAGGACCACAAATGGGGATGTCCAGAATGCTGAGAAAGTGGGCTTGGGCTGGAGCTGGCCAGTGGGTAAAGACTCATGGCATCCAGGGCTCAGGTGCCTCACTGGGAATGGCCAGAGCTACAGAGGGGCTTATGTGTGGCATCAGGAGGAGGGAAGCAGAGGGCCAGAGCACCAGGGTCTGAATGCTGTAGTGTGCCTTCCCAGGCTGCAAAGGCTGTTATGCAATTCAGGCCACAGCCATGTCTGGTGCTCACATAGGCCCAGGAGTGGGGTGCAGTGAGCCCCACATTCTGAGCCCAGAGGGGTGAGGTCAGGCAGTGAGTGGAATTGGTGCCCACAAGTGGACCTTAAGACTTAGACTTGTCCTGTTCCTGCAAAGAGAGCCTGACCTGGGTCTGTGAGGCTCAGGAAGCTGCTTGGGCAGTAGGATCGCTCTGATTCCTGAGCCTCCCTGTGGAAGCCTAGAGCACATGGTGGCCCCAGGAAGGGCAGGATCCCCAGAAAGGACAGAGCTGGCCACATCTGTCCTTATACTTGACATCCACAGGGTAAAAAGAGCTTCCTCACGAGAAACAGTCATCCAGAGGGGTTTCCCTTTAGAGTCAGGGAGGTCTGGGGTTTGGGAAAGGACTGCCTCTCTGCTAGCAAGAGGTCGCCCACTTAAAGATGGTTGCGAGCACCCTCAAAGCACACTCTCTCTTCTCGGGGCCACAAGGAGGCCAGGACCCTGTGTGGCAGAGGACACAGGAGCTGGGACGTGGACATGGTCGTCCTCTGTCACACCTCTTTCTTCCTGTTGTCTCACAAATGCATAATTGCAATTAAGATGTCCTAGTTCCTCTGGTGTGTGTGTGTGTGTGTGTGTGTGTGTGTGTGTGTGTGTGTGTGTGTTTTCAAGCCTACAGCTTGCTCAGGTGAGGCAAGTACTTCATCACTCAGCTCCACCAAAGCCCTAACTTTTTCACGCATATAGTTCTTCTCATGCCCTAAACAGACAGAGATACTGAGGCTCAGTCACACACTCATGTACACTTGAGCCCACTGCCTCTGTCTCTGCATGCTGCCTGTGCCTCCAGCACACAGCAACAGGCTGGGTGTCCTCTCCGGAAGCCTGTCTGATGGCAGAGAGTGACAACAGGAAAACCGGGACTCAGTGGCGCCCCACTGAAGAGCACACACCAGGAGCAGCAGGGAATGCAGATGGGTGCACTCTGGACTGTGGAGAGGAGGGAGGGCTCCCATGTGGATGTGACTTGTGAGTTGAAGTGTGACAGAGCAAAGGGAAGGAGCTTCCAGGCAGGAGAAATGACTCCATTAGAGCCCAACCTCAGTGGCCCCTTTAGGGAGCCATCCCCCTAGGAGCAGAATCTGGGAAGCTTTCTGTAGAACTAGCCTCCAAGGGTTACGGGGAGACTTGGACTCTGTGTTCAGCCAGCTCCGAGAGGGCTTCAGCAACAAGGGCATGTTCCAGGCTAGCCCACCTCCATCTGGCATTGAGGCCGACAGGCCTGCTGGGAAGGCCAAGCCAGGAGCCCTCACTCTCATCAGGAGCATGGCCCATGCTCAGTCCCTGCCCCTCCTGGCCAGCCAGAGGCCTAGGGTCCTTGTCCCTAAGAATAGCAGGCTCCCATCCTCGGAGGGCCAGGCCCACAGGAGCCACAAACATGCTCTTGAGTTCTGCCCCTGAGACGCCAGGATGGCAGACTGTAGCGTGGCTCCCACTGTGGGTTTTGGAGCCACCAGGACTCAGAGCTGGGCAACCTCTGAAGAGGTGTTGCCCTCTGAGCCTCGCTCAGAGGTTGAGTCCATGGCTCCCCCAGCCCCCACCAGACTTACTTCTAGGGCGCTTGAAAGGGTGGGCTGCAACTGTACGTGTCAGCAGCAGCCACAGCACTGTAGGCAGCTGCCTGACCCCTGACTCAGCCCATGGGGAGTTGATGCAAGATGGCCATCCCCCTGCCCACCACACACACCAGGACAAGGCAGGGGGTACAGTTCAGAACAGATGTAGAGCCCCCATGGCGCTGAATATCAATCCTTTTCACCTGTGTGGTTCTTCTCCTGCCTGGGGGCCGCCTCCCAGCAGCCCACCAAGTCAGGAGGGGCCCAAGAGGAGACTCGAGCCTAGACTGGCCAGGGGGCACTGCACAGGGGCCGCTTCAGAGGGTTAGGGCGACCTTAGTGCCAGAGACCCCTTGGGGAGTCCCACACACCCCTTGGGGAGTGAGTGGGGGCTCCAAGGATAGGTGTACATAAGTGGGTAAAACTAGGTGCTTTAAGGATGCTTGATTTGCATTAAACAGCACATGCTTCTACCATAGGAACAGGAGCGCAGTATAATTATTCTATAGGGGAGGGGAGGGGAGAACTAGCAGGGAGCTGTGTCAAAGGCTATGTATCAAGTGTGGTCAGAGTCTGTCTAGTGACGCTCTCCAGATGAGGTCAGGCAGAGAGCAGGAGGCCCTGCTGGGGAGAGGGAGTCCTGCAGCCTAATGGGAGCTCAGGATGGCTGTCCAGACTGGGAGGACTGCAACCTCAGACATCAGGGTCCTCCAACAACCCGCTTGCTCAGTGGGTCCCAGGAGGCCCACACAGCCCGCTTCTCCTCCAGACATAAACCACGTAATTAGGAAAGAGACTGTCCTCTTTCCTTCCTGGGTTCTCTATAACCAGCAGAAATCTTGTCCCAGAAGCCTCCCATTTACCACCTTCCCTCTCCCCAGTGGCCTTAGCCAGAAATGGACTCACTGGGTGACCAATGGATCTACTCCTAAGTGGGTGAGGGCAGTTCAAGAAGAACCAGGGGGAGCGGCCACTCCCGGGGACCTCAGCATGGTCCTCACATAGTCTGCCCACACACGCCTCACGGCTACACGAGAGCTTGGGTAGCCATGGGTACTTCAGAACCAGTCTTGGTTGCTTGACTGGAGACAGGCAGGGTGGTAGTGTGGGTAAACCCCCTCTGTTAGCTACTTGTGTGGCTGTGACAAAATGCAGGATTAGAGGCAGAAGGTGCCCTCTCCTGAGGGGGGGGGGCTGGCAGCAGGAGCCGAGGCAGCGGTGTGCGGGCAGCCACGGGCAGGAGGCAGAGAGCAAGGGAGCTACGCTCAGCTTGCTTCCTGCTCCGGCCACACAGGCCGCAGCTTCCCTCCTCGGCTCACCACAAACCCCGAGCTGAGCCCAGGGACCAGTGTGAAGGAGCAGCCTCGAGTAGGATGCTGGGAAGAAGCCGGGCGGCGAGAAAAACTCAGGCCATCCCCACCCTGCCAAGAACATAGATCTCCTGGTGGCCCCCAGGGCCACTGTAACTGGGTAATTCACTGTAGGGAGCATGTCCGTCCTCCTGGTGGATACAGGAGCGTGGCTCACACAGCCACCACCCACAAAGCTCACCAAGACCATCTCTAGACATTCCAGATGAGGTTTGCTGAGGGTCACCGACCTCAGCCACTGGTCAAGGAGTGTTGGACCCACGGAGTCCACACAACTGAGGGGGTCATGAGGAATGCAAATTAGTGTTCAGCTCCATCAAGCATGGCATCTGCAATGTCTTCGCCCAGTGGCTCTCAGCCTTCTTAACTCTGGGACCCTTTAGCACAGTTCCTCAGGTTGTGGAGACCCCCAACCATAAAATTATTTTCTTGCTACTTCATAACTATGACTTTGCTACTGTTATGAATCATAATGTAAAATGTGTTTTCCGATGATCTTAGGTGACCTCTATGAAACGGTCTTTCTGCCCCCAAAGGGGTCACAACCCACAGGCTGAGAACCACTGCTCTTAAGCAGTCAGTCCTCTAGAACTACCTTTGAGTAACCTGGAATTACTCCTCCTCTGTGTCCACCTCCCAAGCGCTGTGACTACAGGCTTGTGCCACCATGTTTGTGTGGTGGGAATATTTACTCCTGCTAACAAGCAGTCTGCCAAGCAGCCACCTCCCTGCCCCTCGGGTGCACGGACATTGGGGACATTATCCACATGGCCCAGCCGCACACCCCCTCCCTACCTCTCATAAGCCCCGTGAGCCTGCCCCCGCCCTAGCAGAGCCCAGGCCTCAGTCCCTGGTGAAGCTGAAATGCATTGGCTTGGTTTACATCTCTGGAAAGCCCAAACCGCTCCACACTGTAGAAGTCAGTTAGGAAAGCTCGTGCCCAAAAGTCCCCGGAGGAGGATGGTGGGGGAGGATGGTGGGTACGTCAGCCCGGCCTCTCTGACTCACCCGGAAGACTGACTGTGCTGGGAAAGCAACACCTGGTGGGTGAGAGGCTGCTCAGCCCTCACCTGGCTCGGCCCCTGCAATCAGGAAGGGCAAGGCTTGGGCTATTGAAACCTACAGGCTAAGTGCAGTGGAGTGATTGTATCGGAATAACAAATGCATCGTAGGAAGCGATGGTTTTCCATTCTGCCGTTCAGCGTTCGGTAATTGGGGCAGAGTCTGTTCCCTCTGTGGAGTGGTGTGCCCTTGGAGACCTGCCTTCGGGGTTTTTTCCAGAGTGTAGCAGATCTTCTGGGCTGTAAACGCACCTCACTCAGAGGGTCCGAGGAAGCCCACCGAGGGCATGTTCCCAGGCAAGGCCTGGGAGAAAGGCTCAGGCTCTTGTGGGATGCTACATGGCCCAGGTCACCAGCCTTATCTCCTCATTGTCCATTAACTCTGGGCAGTAATGGAGATTGCCAGTAGTTCTGCTGTGCAGGGGGTTTGACTCTAAAAAGCACTTTACAGATTGTGCAAGCGGTATCAGATCTGACTCTTTGAAATAACTTTAACTCCAAGCCCCGACCCTGGTGGCCGTGCTTGGGAGCCTGTCACCACCTCTCTGAGATGCATGAGACCAGAAGGCTCCTGCCTCACTGGAAATGAGGTGCTTCTTATGTGGGGCTCGTTCACAGCCCACGAACCCCAAAGGGCTGTGGGCTCTGTGGGGCCCACTTCAAAGCTTGGGCACAGGAGTCTGTGCTGACGCTCTAGGCTCGCGGTTTTGAATTTCCTATCCTCCTGCCTCAGCCACCCAAGTAGTGGGAGTCCCAGGCCCTGCTCCAGTACCTTGGGGATTAAGGGCTGCCCTTCGCTTCTGCACCCAAGGAAATCGAGGAAGCAATTGATGAGGCCCCTCAGGCCAGGTCACAGAGCTCACGGACCACAGTGGGGCAGCCAGTTCACAGTCTCTGCCACATCACTTCCTGTCCTCTGTGTTCTGAGTGGGAACTCACTCAAAATTCAGCCTATTGGAGAGGATTCAGAGGTGCTGGCTCTGTGTTCCAATCCCAGCACCCCTCTTACACTCCAAGGCACCCCTTCTTTCTTTAAGTCCTTAGACCCTTCCTCTCTCCAGCTTCACCTCATTCCCCTCCCTCTGATCCATGTCTGGCAGCCACACTGGCTGTCCCAGTCATGGTTCTGTTGCTGCCAAGAGGCGCCATGATCAAGGCAGCTCTGGAAGCACTGATTCAGGGTTGCTCACAGTTTCAGAGGGTCAGCCCATATCATCAGTGCTGTCAGACAGAAGATGCTGATGCCCCAAGTAGCTGCGAGGTCTGCAAGGGGAGCCCCAGGCAGAGGGGAGAGGGGGGAAAGAGGGGGGGGGAGAGAGAGAGGGAGAGAGGGAGAGAGGGAGAGAGAGAGGGAGAGAGGGAGAGAGAGAGGGAGAGAGGGAGAGAGAGAGAGAGGGAGAGAGAGAGAGAGAGAGAGAGAGAGAGAGAGAGACTGGCCCTCTGACCCTGATGCTTCTGAAACCTGAAAGTCCAGCCCCAGTGCCTCACCTCCTCCACCTGGGCCACGACTCCTAATGCCCTGATTCTATGGCTGTAACTTGCCCTCTTCCTGCTTTTCCCTGATTCAGTACATACTGCAGTCCACATCTTTGGCATGTAATGTTTTTCATAAAAACAAACACATCAAGAAGTCCAGAAACCCCAAGGACCAGGGCAGCTTTTAGAAGCCAGGACTTGGGGCAGGATGAAAAACGAAGTGGGAATGAGGGCCTGCCACCTCCAGGTGAGTGGAGCCCAGCCTCTGGGGACACACCCAAACAGTCACAATAAAACAAGGGCAACTCTTCATCTCCAGAGAGCCCTCCGTCAAAGCTTTCAGTCTGGTTATGAGCACCCCCCCCCCATCTGTCTGCCAGACACAGGGTGATGCTCTGAGATTAGTGTTTATTCATTCACGTATTTTCAGCACCGGGGATTGAAATCACAGCCTTATGCATGCGAGGCACAAGCTTTACCCTGGAGGCGTGCACCTAACTCAGGCTGATAACTTTTACCGTGTAAACTTTCATGTTCAGGAGAAGAAACAGCAAGTCTCTTTTGAGCCAATAGGGGATGGTGGGAGATTGACACCAACACCAGGCTCTGTCTTGTTTCTCAGGTTATGGCCACATGTACCCTGTCACCAGGCTCGGCAAGATCCTGTGCATGCTCTATGCCCTCTTTGGAATCCCTTTGATGTTCCTGGTCCTCACAGACATAGGGGACATCCTGGCCACCATCTTATCCAAGGCTTACAGTAGGTTCCGGATGCTCCTGTGCCTCCGCCATGCTGTCTCCAGGAGGTGCTCCCGCCTGCTGTGCCGGAAGCAGCCAGACAGCAGAGCCCTGGACGAAGCAGTCCCTCGGATTGTCATCGATGTCAGTGCGGAGGAGCTCCCAGACCCCCAGCCCAGCAGGCAGCCTGCGTCTCCAACCTGCAGCGTGAAGCTGCTGGAGAGATTGGTTGCTGAGAAACAGAGCGTACTACAACCGCCCATGCAGCCTCTGGAGAGGAGCAACTCATGCCCCGAGCTAGTGCTGGGGCGGCTGTCCTGTTCAATCCTTAGCAACCTGGACGAAGTGGGCCAGCAGGTAGAGAGGCTGGACGTCCCTCTCCCTGTCATCGCCCTGGTCATCCTGGCCTACATCTCCTGTGCAGCTGCCATCCTCCCCTTCTGGGAGACGGAGCTGGGCTTTGAGGACGCTTTCTATTTCTGCTTTGTCACGCTGACCACCATTGGGTTTGGGGACGTCATGCTGGCTCACCCTCATTTCTTCCTCTTCTTCTCCATCTACATCATCGTAGGCATGGAGATCCTGTTCATCGCCTTCAGGCTGATGCAGAACAGGCTCCTGCGGACCTACAAAGCCCTAATGCTGTTTTTCTGCCAGAGGGAAGTTTCACTGCCTTGCTAAGAAGAGAGCGGTCTGGCGTCTGGCGTCTGGGTGAGAGATGCAGGCCCTGCAGGCTCCCCTCCTTGTTTTTGTAGGTACAGTTAGAGCCTGGGGTGTGGTCACCTACCGTCTGGGCTATCAAGGCTTGAGGGACAACACCTGGCTGAGGACTGAGCTCAGCATCAGGGCTCTTCAGCCACACTGTTCTGTAGGAGAAGAGGAAAAGCTTCCTCCACTGTCCCCAGCCCAGTCGCTATCCCTGCTGCCATTTTGAAAAGTTCCATTTTAAAAATGTGAAAGACCCTGATGATGTCACAGCTTTCTTTCGAAAGATACAATGCTCTTGGCATTTGTACTTTGAGGGAGGTTAAAGCTCACCCAAGTGGCCTCGGCTTCCTCTGCTGAGCCAGTGTGCACCTGAGCAACCTGTTTCCCCGAAAGACTGCATGGCTGCACCTGGCACCTGCCCAGCCTTGGCTACTGGTGTCCCTAAGTGAGCCTGTCACCTGGGAGGAGTCTTCATGGACAGGTTCTGAGAGCAGCTGTCTCACTACTTAGCTCACGGGTAGTGCTGCCTGACTGAGCGAGCTTGTGACACTGTTGTTACACACAGGGAGGGACCAGTATCCGATGGTGTAGACATTCCAGAGCTGCCCCTGGAGCAGCTGGCATGTCCTGGCAATTTACTCCCTCTGTGGACTGTCTTTGGCTAGTAAAGCTGGACTGGGCCAGCTAGAGATGTCAAAGAGGGAGCAGGCTTCGCGCATGGTCGATGGGTGGGCAGACGGCACTGGCTGCCTTGCCCTTCCCATGTGACAGCTTGGGCAGTGCTGTATGCCACCGCCCCCTTCCCAGCAGGCCTCATGTGATCAATAGCACATGTTGGGGTGTGCCCCCTTCCCATCATCTGCCCCTCCATCAGGCGCTGGGGTCTCCTCCTGTGGAACGCACCCTAACTCACATCTGTCTCCAAGCAGCTTCTAAGGACCAAGGAGAGGACAGGTGTCATGGGGAACGGGCTGGCCAGGTTGGGGAAGGCCACATGCCCCATCTCCTTTACTTGAAGGTCATTGGAAATACCTCATGGCTGCATCCTGTGTCCTTGATTCTTACAAGTTCAGTCCTGCAAGCAGCAAACTTAGTCCCTGGGTAAGTGGTGGCTCTCCCTACAGGGAGGAGTACACAGAAATGCCTCGAGGGTCGAGTTTGAAGAGAATGCACCTGGGCTTTCAGGGCTCACTGTTCTCTCTCAGATCTAGCCATCTCCAAAGGCAATTTCTCAGGAAGTTTCCCTTTCTAGATCTTTCCCCCTTCCCCACAAGGACTAAATTCTAAACTCCCTCAGTCCTTGCGGCTCTGTCTCAGGGAATGGAATCCGCAAGGTGGGAGCCAGAACCAGTGAAAAGGCAGGAGACACCAGGGTGAAGTGCTTGGGGTTTGGGGTCTGACACCCCCTTGAGCTTCATTAGTACAGGTAGAAGACTGCACAGGGAAGACTGTCCCCCACGGGGCACCATGGGGCCGGAGGGCCCTACAGATGCCCACCAAACACTGGCTATTTACCCGGATCAGCACGTGCAGGGACGAACCAAGTGAGTCCTCAGAACACTAGTAACTTCACAGCAGGTGGTGTGGGCCGAGCGACATCCACCTTTCTTTTCCTGTTATCTACCATCTATGTCTGTCTGTCTGTGTGCAGGCACACGTGTGCCGAGGTGTGGGGGCAGGGGGCAGAGGAGACTTGCTGGAATTGGTTCTCCTATTCTGCCACGTGGGTTTTGGGGCTCTAAAGACTGTCTAGCTTGGTGTCAGTCACTTTCAGCCCCTGAGACATCTCATTGCCCCTCCTTTGTTTCTGAGGCAGGACTCATGTAGTCCATGCTGCTTTTGGATTTGGCACAGTCAAGGATGGCCTTGTACTTTTGATCCTTCTGCCTGACCTCTAAGTGCTGGTATTATTCTGCCATGATGGCTAGTTTGCTCAGGGTTGAGGACAAAACCCAGGCATCACACATGCTAGGCAGGCACCTCACCTCCTGAGCTCACCTCCTGCCAGATGTGGAGGATGTCAGGAATGCACTTATGCATATTAAATAGACGGAGTGCCTGGTTCACTCACTTATCCAGTTTGCTAGCAGTGAACATTTCCATGACTCTGAAGAGATGGGCCTGCATGTCCTCCTGTCCCTCATTTCTTACCTCTGTGTCTTGTAGCTGTGGGCCAAATACATTTCCACATACATAGTCCAGAAAATAGACTTCCATGTCCAGGTTCAAGAACATAAATTCATGATGACAACCCTCTCCTTCAGTGGCTCCAGATCTTGCTTCAAGCATTTTCTGTTGCCCCTTGGTCCCTACTATCTGCCTGATAGGCCTAGATGATGAATTTATATTTTATATTGCCATCACAAATACCTAAGAAAACTTAAAGTGGAAAGATTTTTGGGTTCATAGTTTCAGAAGTTCTAGCTAGTGGTCTCTTGGTTTTCAGGACTATGATGAGGCAGAATAATATGACAGAAAAGGAAGGAGGGCAGAGGGAGAAAGAGGGAGAGGAGAAAGAAGAGGAGCCAGGGATGAGACATACCCTTCAAAGGCACCCCCCAGTGGCCCACTTCCTCCCAGCAGCCTTTTCTCCTGCTAGCATGCTCACCTCTGAACTCAGCAATGATGGCATAGGCCGTTAGGGTCCAACCGCTTCAGCACAGTGCTTCCAGTCAGGGTGCAATACACAGCAGCCTCCTGACAGTTATAATCACATGAGATTTCTCATGGGTCTGGAGGCCTGAAGTCTGTGAACAGAACAGTAGGGTCCTGGGGAACACTCTCTTGATGAGTGCATACACAGGGCTCTTCTGATGCTTCCTCCCTCCCATGCTGGGTGTTCCTCTCTCCTGAAGTCAGGTAACCCCAGGGGCCCCTGGGCTGGGCGGAGGAGCCTTCAAATGTCTCCAACAGCCGGGGTGGGGGTCGGGCCACCGGCTGCTCTCGCAGCTTCGAGCGCCCCTTCAAGCGCCCTTCCCCCAGGACAGGAAGACTCGGTTCCCTGTGGCTTCCTCAGTGTGCCCAGAGGAGCCGAAGCGGTCGCTCTTGTCCCTAATGTGTTCCCACTGCATCCTGCCACGCTAATGAGGCTCTAGCCCTGTGTCCCCCATGTGAACCTGGAGAGTAAAAGCATAGTATCCATTGCACTGTGTGCGACATACAGAACTCATGGCATCTCTGTCACGTGGGCTGGGGAACCCTAGGACTCAGGGAGCCTCCTGGAGCAAGAGAGAGGTCAAGGCATGTCCAAACCCTGAACATCTCATCCTGAGATGGACAAGAGTGGGACCCCTCCCTCTCTGTCCCGGGCCTTTGTGTCTCAGCACACGTAGCCTTGTAACCCCCACCTCACCACCCTGTAACCTGCGGCCAGGTTACAGGTTAAATGTCCCTCTCCTTATAAAGGCATGTCCAGCAAGCACCTGGAATCTTGCTTCATGAAAGCAAGGCATCCCCAGCTCCCCAGCCTTTGTCCCCCATTTAAATGAGCTGCTCATTGAAGCCTGCCTCCTTCAAAGTCTGTCTCAGCAGGCTCACAGCCTTCCCGTCCCGCAGTCCTGCTTCTGCTTCCTTCCTCAGGATCTGTAGCTGCAGCAACAGGTGAACAGCGTCAGGAAGGGTGGGAGCAGTGGCTGTCCAGCTGTCCAACTGCTCTGTGGGACCTGGGAGGGCCTCAATCTACCCATAAGCTCCTGGGCCCTGGAGTGAAGAAGCACTTGCCGCATCTCTTGTTCAGGGGTACAGAGAAGCCCCTCACCCTGGCAAGTCTGTCTCCAACCTCACTGTTCCAGGACCAACAGAAGCTGTGACATCTCCCTGCCCAGTTGTCCAGTAGCCCGACAACGGCCATGTTAAACCATGGGTGAGTTCACATGGCTCAGCCTCTGAGGTAGGGTGAGGAAACAGACAGAAACAACGAGGAAGACCCAGTCCTGGCAGAGCTGGCTTCATCACGTCTGCCAGGGTGCTGAGGCTGAAGCTTTCTCCCCGGACCTTGGCATGACTACGCCAGGAGTGGGACGAGAGTCCTGACGTGGCCACCAGGTGGCACGCCAGACCGTGCCGAGTTCACTGTGCAGGGCCAGCAGGTGGCATGTTGGCCTTTGCTGCTGCCTGTTGGCGGCTGCAGGTTTTTGCAGGGCCTTCAGGTGGGGGCGCCCTTGCAGAGCAGCCTCCCCGCCCTGGCCTCATCCTCAACGCTGGCAGTCGGCTGTTTCCGGGAAGGGAAGGAAGGTCTAGCAAGCTCTGTCCGCCGTTCCATGTAGCACATCTCCAGGCTTCCAAAGAAGCTCTGGAGTCTCTTCCACTGCCCACGGTCCCCAGTGTGAGTCCTCAGTTGTTCTAGCATGTGCTAACTGTTGAGAAAGAACTCTCCTCCTGGCTTCTGGGAGGCTGTTGGTCCTGGCAGCACTCCTTCCCTGTCTTTCTGGGCAAGAGAAGGAGATTGCAAGGCATGAGCCTGACTTCAGTAATGGCTCCTGGGACTCTCCGAGGCCTAGTCTCCACCCTGGGCGCCTGGGATAACCAAGGTGAGGTGCCTTAGCGGCTCCTCGCTCTGGTGCCTCTCTAACATCACCTTTGCTTGCTTGACAGGAAATGCTTCAAGCCTGCACCCGGGACCCTCTGCCCTCAGGGGGTGGGAAGGGGACACACAGCCTCCCTCATCCTGACTCCCACCAGCAGTCCAGGCTCTGGCCTCATCACCCTCAGTGAAACTTCCTGACCCTAATTTGCTCTCATCTCCCCATCTGAGTGCAGACCTAGCCCACCAGTGCCCTAAGCCCCCTCACTTGGTTCTCCTCCACTTGTGGAGGGCTGGGTGTGTCCCTGGTGTGAGGCCCTGGCTTCAGTTTCTCTCCTGAAAGTCCCAAGCAGCTGGCTCCAAGTTCAGCTGGCATGACTACAAATGCTCCGGCTGGTTTGGTGGCATTCACTCAGCCGGCACCCACGGTTCTTGGTCAGGCCCCTGAACA